TCAGCCTGGCCGATGGAGCAAGGCCCTGCCTTAAAAAAAAAAAAAAAAAAGTGTGTATATATATATGTGTGTGTGTATATATATATGTATATATATCATAATATTTAACAATTTAGTTCCAGAACATTTTCAGAAATAAAAGAAACTTAATTTTATAAATGCAAAAAGACATTGAATTTCAGAGAAAAAAATACTAGTAAAATTGCTATACATACACAAGGAAGAAAGAAAGGGAAGGGGGAAGACTGAGGAGAACCAGAAAATAAAGAGGAAGAGGAGGCAGGAGACCAAAAATAGAGTTTGCTCCCCCCTCCTCGTTCTGTCTCTCTCTATTTCTTTTTTGAATGTCATTTTGGTTTTATGAAGTTTGATGTAACTGAATATTTTCAGATTATGGGCATTATAGAATTTTCATTAAAGAAAAAGACCTGTTTTCAAAACTTAGGAAAAGAAATGGTTCTATATCTAATCTGACTTAATGTGTGGATTTTTCTTTTATTTTACAGAAAACTGGGAACATTTTTGAATTTCAAAAACCTTGAAACTTGTTTAAAGGATGCTATTCTACTAGATTATTATGTATCTGGATTTTTGTGGGCTAGAGGAATGGATTTTTCTATTATTCAGTATTCAAAATTTATGACTTTACTAGCTATGTTACTTCAAAATCTTAAAAGTAAGTACATTATTTTTCTTTTTTTAAGTAAAACAAATTCAGTTTACCATCTAAATTGAGGTTCTTAAGCAAAAGTTACAGATTTTATTGTAATTTCTTTAATGAAAAATAAGGGTTTTTCCTGAGTATAGCAAATATATAGTTCATATCTCCATTGAGTTATAAAACCTCAAGTAATACTTAACAAAGGTTACAGTTTTCTTAATAGTCAATTTGCCAAAGATATGTTAATTTCATTTTAAAGTTGTATCAGTGTCATTCACCCTCTAAATATCTGAGGACTCTGTGATATTCTTGTAACCTTTCCGTAAATTTAAAACTACACTGAAATTAAAAGTTTATCAGTAATGATTAGCCATCTCTAGAATAGAATACTAGGAAGCTATAGAAAGGAAAAAATGAAGAAGCTTTCTGTGTACTATATGGGAAGCAATATATAGTTATTAAGTAAAGCAAGGTGCAGAACTACATGCTTTCATTTATAAAAGAGGCAAAAACAAGAATCTATCCATATTTTTATTTGTGTGTACACAAAGAAATGCTGGAAGATACAGAAAAAAACTAATAATAGATATTCCCTGGGGTGAATGGTAGTAAGAACCGGGCATGTGGGCAACAGATATTGGAGGAAGTCTTTTCATAAGATTTCTTCGTTTGTATTTTTGAAATATGAATACATCACTTATGCAAAAATTAAATTTTAAAAGAGAATATGTAACATGGACAGTCCTAAGTTTTGGCAACTTCTGAGCTGAGTATTCATACACCAGAAATAGAATAAAGGAAAGAAAAAATTTTCATGGACCTCACATCCCAAATTTGAGAACATATTTCTTTTTTTTTTTTAATTTATTTATTATTATTATACTTTAAGTTGTAGGGTACATGTGCATAACGTGCAGATTTGTTACATATGTATACTTGTGCCATGTTGGTGTGCTGCACCCATCAACTCGTCATTTACATCAGGTATAACTCCCAATGCAATCCCTCCCCCCTCCCCCCGAGAACATATTTCTTTTTTAACCTTTTCCCGTAACTTATAACTGACTCAATAACATTTTTTTCTAGATGAAACTTTATATTGTTGATATTACTGCAAAAATGAATTTCTAAAACCTGAGCAGGATCCCTCCAGCTCCTCATAAACCATGAAAAAGAAAGTACATATGTAGAACCTAACCAGAAAAAAAGCAAGGAATCTAGTTTTACCTTCTGGCAGAAAAAACAAAACAAAACAAAAAATCCCTCCACACTTTTAAACTGAACAAAGTTATAGTCATCATTAGGAAAGAATGTAATTTTAGCCAAATGTGCCAAGGAAAAAGGTAAAGTATGTTTACACTTCAACTAGGTAGCAATAGAGTCCTGAGCACATAGCCACCACTCCCATTCAGCAACGTCATAATAGAAAAAGCCCAAAAGCGCACACTCTGGGCCTCTGGCAGGGGTGTAACTCTGTCCATTGTGGGAATTCCATTTCATGCTAGCTCAGTCTCTGATCGATCCTTGCCTCAAACTTGGCTGCATATCTACCAGGCATTCTACAGTCAACCCATCTGGAATCAAATTAGATCAAGCTAAAAAATATGGGACACAGAATTTGGAGACTCGTCTTAACAGTATATATTGTGAGGTCTGGTTTTTCTAGGACCTGACCGAACATAAGCTGTAGAACAAGTTTATCCAACCCACGGCGCGCAAGCTGCATGTGGCCCAGGACGGCTTTGAGTGCGGCCCAACACACGTTCGTAAAGTGTCTTAAAACATTACGGGATTTCCCTTGTGATTTTTTTTATGCTCATCAGCTATTGTTAGTGCTAATGCATTTTATGTGTGGCCCAGGGCGATTCTTCTTCTTCCAGTGTGGCCCAGGGAACCTAAAAGATTCGACGTTCCCACTGTAAAGTATTGGATAGACTGGATATTGGGCCTCCAGCCAGGTCCATAGGCCTAGATGGACTCCCCTCTGTATGATGTGAATGTTTGCAAGTAACTGTAGAATATTTTTTAGTTCTTATGATGCTAAATTGGTTTTCCCCTCAATAGGAACGGCAAATTCAGGTAACATTTATGTAGATTAACTTGTGCCAGTCACAGTGTCGATTGCTTTAAAAATATTGTCTTATTTAATTCACATGCCACCTTATGAGAGAAATTGGTAAGAGTCAGAGGGGTTCAGTGACTCCTTAAGGTCACACAGGGTCTACACTAGCAAGTGAGGGCCCATCCTCTTAAATACTACATCAAATGTGCTGGCTTCGGGCTAAATCTAGAAAGCACTATACACATGTAATAGTACCAGGAGTTCCATATGAACTTTTTTTTGTTGAGACAGAATCTAGCTCTGTCGCCTGGCCGGGCTGGAGTGCAGTGGCATGATCTTTGCTCGCTGCAACCTCTGCCTCCTGGGTTCAAGCAATTCTCCTGCCTCAGCCTCCCAAGTAGCTGGGATTACAGGCACCCGCTACCACGCCCAGCTAATTTTTGTATTTTTAGTAGAGACGGGGTTTCACCATGTTGGCCTGGCTGGTCTCGAACTGAGCTCAGGTGATCTGCCCACTTTGGCCTCCCAAAGTGCTAGGATTACAGGCGTTAGCCACTGTGCCCGGCCATGAATTTCTTATTTAATCCTCACAACGGCACTATAATTTTGAAAACAGGTATTGCAGTATTCTCATTTTACATAGAAAAGAAATGAGGCCAGATGTAGTGGCTCATGCCTGTAATCCCAGCACTTTAGGAGGCCAAGGCAAGAGAAGCATTTGAGGCCAGGAGTCCAAGACCAGCCTGAGCAACATGGAGAAACCCCATATCTAAAAAAAGACTGAAAAATTAACCGGGTATGGTGACCCACATCTGTGGTCTCAGCTACTTGGGATGCTGAAGTGGGAGAATCGCTTGAGCTCAGGAGGCTGAGGCTGCAGTGACCCATGATTGCATCATTGCATTCCAGTCTGGGCAACACAGCAAGACCCTGTCTCCCAAAATAAATAAATAAATAAAAAGAGACTCAGGTCACCTAACTACTAACAGTAAAGGTCAGTTATGAGGCATCATCCTACATTTTCCAATTAATATTAAGTCTGGTATGTTCTTTCATTACTCTAAATTTTCAAGAATACATTTTGTTTCTAGAAGCTTTTGCTATTTGAGTGGTTTAATCTTTTATATTTTAATCACATCACTAAATGTGATTTTTAAAAGAGCAAATATTTCAGTTCGATAAATGAAATTATAACTTCCCTAATTTTTAAAGCAATTATCTACAGAAAGACATTAGACATAGAAAAACAGTTTTAAAGATTCAACTATTTTCAGAAGGAAATAGTCATATAAATGTATTTTTGTTTGATAAGTATAATTTCATCTAGAATTATAATCAATTATCTAAGAATTTCTCTTTTTCTGCATCTCTAATTAATATCATTTTATTAATAAAATGATTCAGATTTTCCATTTATTTATGAATTGCTTTTATCCAACAGATTTTTCATTTCTGAAGCTACTTCCACTATTATCAAAAGAAGTTTATCATGGAGAGAGAAATGTACAATAATAATTGAATTCCAGTTAGAATGATATAGGAAAACCTAGTTATCCAGAAATAATTCACTGTATCTGACATACATAAAAGATGATCTGGAGGGAGGCAATGGGAAATGAACCAATTGTAATTCATTAAACCAGATTTTAATTGTTGTATATAGTTTTTATGCTTCTTTCTAATTCCTGTAAGTAGAAAAGAAGCTATACTAAACAAATTACAAGTTTGTGTTTATAGTGTCTTCCTAATATTTTAAATTACTTTCCTTTCACCTTATTAGTAATTTTGGTATTTAGGGTAGAGCACTTACACCCCAGTGGGAAAGAGCAGCTGTTTAATCCAGAAATACCTGGTCCAGCAATCAGCCTATGTTCTCGTAACTTCTTTTAATCTCCACCCCCTCCCTTCCAAATCAACTCCATTACAACAAGTGTAATGTTGACTGATGACTTCAGAGAGAGAGACAGGGATTTGGTTGGTGGGGTCCACACTGAGCAGCACAATTCCCGCAGATCCCACATTCAGGCTCCCCGCTGACATTCACCTCCCCCAGGCGGCCAGTCCAGCCTGGCTTTAGTGTCTTTCTACTCTCCACCTCCAGCATCCTCGGTTTTATGTCCACATACCCATCGCTTTTCCGCAAACATAGGACAATCTGGCCAGTCCACTTACCTGACTCCATCTTCCCGGGGAAGGGTGGATAGTGTGTGTGTGGGTTGTAAATAATATTTTATCTGTCACAAGTAACACTGAGCATAACGGAACCAAATGAGAAAAGAAAATGGAAGTTTATGTTTTTATTACAGACACTTTAAAAGTTAAGTCTAAGGTGTTCTTTTTCAACTGGACAAATGCCACACAAGACAGTTTCGGGTGTGTGTTTGCGCTGGTGTGTAGCTGTGAGAGAATAGACGAGAATCACTGAGCTGTTTACTTCTGGTGGTGGTGGCCAGGTTGTGTCACTCTGTGCATTTTCATCCGGCTCTCACCAGCACCACAGGGCAGACATTTGAGAAACAGCTTACATGAGTTATAAGTCTGTGGCTGTGGAAAAGAAAAAAAAAAAAAAAAACTTGATGTTTTACATAAAAATCCATATTTCTGACTTCCATTGAAAATCTTCAGACCCAGATTTACACATGGAAACAATTGGCTAAAGCCCGGTGTTGATTGACTCCATTCATTTACATTTTCAGCTCTAAGTTCAGTTCTGCTGTCTAGTAACTGAACCTCCCATCTAAGTCTTCCATTCCTCACCAGCTGTCAAACATCTTTTTTTGTAGTTTTCATGCTTTTATTCTAAGATTGTAGAAAAAAGAAAAAACAAACCCTTTTCATTTTAAAGATTTTAAAGTACAATTTGAACTTTTTTCTTTTTTTTTATCCTAAAATAGAATCATAAATTCTACAGACAATTGTGTAGCATTATAGTAATTCACAAATGTTGGGGCGGGGTCAGTTGCTATTCCTGAGACAGAGTCTCACTCTGTCACCCATGCTGGAGTGCTGTGGCACCATCCCAGTTCACTGCAACCTCTGCCGCCCAGGCTCAAGCCATCCTTCCACCTCAGCCCCCCAAGTAGCTGGGACCACAGGCATGTGCCACCGTGCCTGGCTAATTTTTGGAATTTTTGAAGAGACAGGATTTCGCCATGTTGCCCCGGCTGGACTCTAACTCATGGGCTCAAGTGATCCACCTACCTTGGCCTCCCAAAGTGCTGGGATTACAGACTTGAGCCACCGTGTCCAGCCAGCTGCTATTCTTCTGCATAAAATGTATTAATGTATTAAGAAGAAACAAGAGTTTTACCATTTATCCTCACAAATACTTAACAAAGTAAATTTTGGCACATTAAAAACATCTTAGATTATCTTATTCTGAAAACATCCATCAAAATAATACTTAAGATCTCTCTGGATTTTATTTCAGCACTACATGTGTCCTTAGAGGACAGCATAAAATGGCTTGGAGAAGTTATGGCTGAAATAGGACCAACACATTCACAAAAAAGTGAGGACTGGAATATCTTTGATGTAAAACAAGCCAATGCTATCATTGATTACTTAAAAATCAGGTATGGATTATTTTCAGTAACATTTATTTTTCATTTCACATCTTCTGGAAAATGTCTGTTAAGTAAAAAGTAATTCAGTTTTTGGCAAATTCAGATATTTACAGAATTTATGCTGTAATTAGCCCAACCAATAATTAGGTAATTAAATCTTCTTTAAATTAGATGTTCAAATCTTTCATCTAATAACTAAAAGTCAGAACAGTGAATAGTTTGGCTAACTTTGCATTCCCAGAAAAAAAGGTTTGCGTTTGATAAATATAATTTCATCTAGAATTAAAATAAATTAAGATTTCCGTTTTCTTTGCATCTCTAATTAATATTTATTAATAGGATGATTCAGATTAATCAGATGCAATTACAATAGACTCTATATTTTAGGTAGTTGATCTTTCCAACTACCTGATTCTACATTTTGAAGAGCAACATTCATTGCTATTTAAATATTTATTTTGAATGCTTTGTATTAGAAATTGAAGAGATTTATGAATATACTTCCTCAAATTTATTACATCCCCTGAAATATCTTGTAATATTGACCAATTAAACTCATTAAGTCTTTCTTACTGCTTAGAAAATGATGGAAGGAAAAGTATTTTTATTACAGTGATTCTTCATTGGTGAACTAAGAAATTTGTCTTTTTATATAATCTGTCACAAGGTCTCCAGTAGAGTCATGCATCTCTCTAAAGGGACATTTTTAGAGTTTGCAAATATTCCAACAAGAGTAGGTTAAAATCTTTTGTCAAGCTGAAAGCTTCTGCATAATATTTTTGTTTCTCTTATACTATATACTCCAGTGTTTTTCAACTTTAAAATTTAAAATTCTAAAATAAGAGTGCTGACTGATATCCTAGACATGCTCATGATTTGCTTGGCAAGGATTCTAGCTGAAATCTAGAAAGCTTTTTAAATACTAGCGTGTTTAATATGATAAAGTTTATATATTGGTTTCTGGCATGAATTAATAATGTCATATGATATAATACGGTTTTTACGTAATAGCATTTGATATAATGTGGTTTCTTAATATTAAAACATAGCTCCTAAGGGGTATCTCTCAGTAAAAGCCGAAGTAGTTTTCATATCAATTAAAGTAAGGCAAGGTCCTTGTGTTGGGGGAGATGATGGCAATCCAGAATTGGAGGAGAGCCTATTCCTGAAGGTCTTTCTACCCGTCAGGGTTTGGGAATCACTGGGCAAGAGGAATTCTACTTTGCACATTGTGTTAGCATCCTTCTTTTCCTTCTCTATTTGAACAATCCCAGTTTCTCTTGCAGAACACATTTTTAAAACTGAGCTAGCCCAGGAAGTTTCTAATGGGCACAGGGACTGATAGTTAACCAGGGCCACAAAACCCATGCCATAATGACCCCTTCTAGAAGGTAAAGGATGGCAGCTCTTTTCCCCTTCATCTTGTCTCTCTGGGCAAATGTTCATTGACATATTTCTTGACATTGTCCTTCAGAAAACAATTAAGTTAAGAGAGGATGTCACCTTTAGATCCTAACCAGGGTAATTTCGCATATTATAAATCCCTAATATTATTACTTCACTAAAAATAAAACAAAAAGTAGTATTTAAGAAATTAGTCAAAGTAAATCACAACAATTGTTGATGCTGTTAAGTCTTCATATTGTTATTTCAAGGAAGTTATGCAATTTAAATATCCCTATTACAGAACTACAAAATATCAGTTAGTAGGATGTCTGGAATTGATTCTGAAGTTGTGTAAAAGAAAATATGCTTTTCTACAACACCTGTTGAGAATCCCTCAAAAGTCCACAAATGAGAGTTTAGGGGGGACTGGGAGGAGGGGCAGCATCAAGAAGAATAACTAATAGATGCTGGGCTTAATACCTAAGTGATAGGTTGATCTCTGCAGCAAACCACCATGGCACCCATTTAAACCTACACATCCTGCACATGTACCCTCAAAGTGAAAAGTTGAAGGAAAAAAACAGTTTAATAACAACGAAATCATATAATATTTTTCATTTTGATTACTACAAAGCAATGTTATAAATATGAAGGCAACCCAGTTATCAAAAGTATAAGTGTTTGAATTTAACCCGATACTAAGTTTACCCAACCACTAAAAGCCCTAGTCAATTGAGGTAGAGCAGTTTTTAGAACACGACCTATAGCACATGAAACTTAACTGACAATAAAATTGAAATTTCATCTGATGCCCTTAACACACTCTGTCATGTGTCTGTGATTTGAAAAAAACTAATACCAAATTTCCTCCCCTACATGACTGTAAGTACTGGCAAATCTAGCTGTACAAATCTAGTTTTACATTTGTACAATGTATTGTATAATGTATACAAATATAAATACTTCTGCAGCTTTTTAGTATAAAACATCATTTACATATATATGGCCCAAGTACACGTCTGTCATTGTGGATTCTACCTATTTATGGGAATTAGGCGATAGTAATCTCAGGTGTACACTCAATATAAGAGGCAGGTACCCAAAATAAGAAAATCAACCCTGCCGCTCTGTAAACCACAGGGTATTGCACTTCCAGGCATCGAGCCAGACATCTTGAATTATTTTCACTTCATCTCTCTTCAATTTAGAACTAAGACTAAATGTTTGACAAAATAATCTAGGAGGTTGAGTCAGTCAGAAGAGGAAGAAAATGCATTATCGCAGTTGAAGTGTCACTTTGTTCCCATACAGCACTACCTAATCGCTCCTGGTAAATCTGGACAAGTCCTGGACTTGCCCCCAAGTCTGCACCTTTGACCACCACATCCAAATCACGCATTTTATTTTCAGTGTTAAGAAGTGAATTTCCCTCTTGGCATGGGACAACCTAATTCCTATATGCAGTGAAAAGAATAAGCCTGAAAGATTATGAAATTTCAGGAAGGAAGATCTATGAACTAAATTCTTTGTGTGACACAAGATAGAGAAAGGGAAATTTTATGCTGGTTCACTGAGAGGAAGCCAAGCTGTTTCCAAAATACTCTATAGTCTTTAATTTTTCTACTTAAAATCGGTTGTTGCCAGTGTAATATTTTTGACCTTAAGGCTTTCTCTAGATAACCAGTGTAAGTTAGGGAGAGTTTGAATTTATTTTGTGTCATTGAATTATCAGACTTCACTAATCTTGATGTATTTTTCTAGCCAACAAATCAAAGTAATGTCAAAAGCTAAGTTACTTTTCTGAATATTGATGAGTAATTTGAATGTACAAGAGGTTTTTTTCCCCAAAAAATACCATGACAGAGTCTGCACACCCATCACTTTTTAATGGATTGTGTTACTAGTGAGATCAACTGCTAATATAACTCAGAGAGACTCAGCTGCCTGAGGATTTCTTCATTGATTTCAAATGAATTGAAACTTTGATCCATTACAACATCCAGGAGAAGCCATTATTATACATGCTCTGTAGCTACATTTTGCAAATGTTAATTTCTCAGTTATATTAAAATCAATTTCCTTAAATAGCAAAAGGCACCAGAGTGAGAGAGAAACCACTAAGACAATTTTTTGTTCTTGGGCATTTTGCTGTATTATGAGTCTATTAATTTTCTCAACCAGCAGGAAGAGAACTAGAAAAATTCAAATATTATCACAAACAGGATATTAGAAGTCAGCCCTTCAGTAAATTTTTAACTCTTAATAATGCATTGTTCCTTAAACTTACTAGAATTCTTATTTTAAGGACCTCCTATCCTTTGGTTCTTTATAGGGTTTTGTATGCTGACCACCTAGTCTTTAGGGTAAGAACTGAAGAAATGATCTTTTTTTTTTCTGTTGCCCAGGCTGGAGTGTAGTGGCACGATCTTGGCTCACTGCAAGCTCTGCCTCCTGGGTTCAGGCCACTCTCCCACCTCAGCCTCCCAAGTAGCTGGGACTACAGGCGCCTGCCACCACGCCCGGCTAATTTTTTGTATTTTTAGTAGAGGTGGGTTTTCACCGTGTTAGCCAGGATGGTCTCAATCTCCTAACCTTGTGATCTGCCCACCTTGGCCTCCCAAAGTGCTGGGATTACAAGCATGAAGGAATTATCTTTCTTAAATTAATGTTTCCCTTTCATGTGTGACCGAATATTCTGCAGAAAACTCAGACATTTTCTAAATGGATTTTAATTCATGCGCCCTCATTTTTCAGGTATTATCAGAGATTAATTTAACATTGAAACAGTTTGAGAATGTGAGAAGTAATTGATATAGAGGTAGATTATATAATTCAGTGCCATTTTTCCAGAGGAAAATGACTCCTGTTTGCAGCAAAACATAGCAAATAATGTGAAGTTTCATGTTATTTAGGAATGGTGCATTATTTGCTTTTAAGCTAGGAAAAGTCAAGATGCCATCCAATTTCTCCCTTATTTCTAACTTACCCACTCATTACAGATGGATTTACTGATATTATTCTAGGTATTGTGTTATATTGTCATCTCCTTAAAAACTAAAACTCTTAATTTCTTAGCATTTCCAGACAATTTCTTTTGGAATAAAGGAGGGTACTAACTCTATTTTGGTGTTTGATAGCATTAGCTTAGTCAATATGAAGTTTCCTTTAATAAATGTCTTTACATATTGTGGGGTTTTTTTTTCCTGAAATCAACGTATCAGAGTGCACATTTATTTTATATTTCAGCTTATTTCAACACTACAAGCTATACGAGTTTATGTTCTT